CACACACACACAGAAGAGAGCACACACACACACACACACACACACACAGTAGTGGGCATTTTTGCTGCGGGAGCAGTTGGGGGTAGTATAATTTCAATACAGCGGGAAGAAAAAAAATTGGTCAAAAATCATTTATTTTATAAACACAGTGGAAAGAAAGGAGGAAAGTCTCCCACATGGTTGATGTGATGAGTGTGTCTGGTACACTCACGTCCAGATAGTCTTTCATGGCCGTGTCCATCATGACCAGATCCGTCAGGAAAGTTCCCAGGTAAGGAATCGTCCCCTGCATCACAGTCTGAAACAAAAACCATCGTTCTGAGAGTTCAGCAGTATGAAACACCACAGACGACAGACGGGGGAGCAGCTTATATACACACACACACACACACACACACACACAGATACATAGATATGAGTCTCCTGCTGGAGTTCATCTCGTAATGATGCAGAATCAGCTCAATGAGTTTGTACTACATGATCTGAGAGCAGCTGCCGGTGTGGATCATCGTCCATCAGAGCGTTCAGCTGCAGTCTGTGTCTGAATGTCTCACCAGATCTCTCTGCGGCTGCTGTCGTTTCTGCGCTCGCTTAGGGTTGATCTCCAAAGTGGCAAATTTGGACGTTCCCTCCTGCCAAAGAGACACAAGCAGTAAATATCATACACACACACACACACACATGCAAACACACATACTCACACATGCACACACGCACACTCACTCACACACACACACACACACATGTCATGTCGTACCTTTATCAGCAGTTCTCGGCTCAGCGAGTGGTTGTTCTCATCAGAGAATATCTCTGACAGCTCCTGGAAGATGCGAAAGTTTTCTCGTGACACTTCGTCCCATGTTTTCTTGAGCCGGTGAACCGGGTTACACTGCAGCGCCGACAGAATCGCACGCAGGGACGAGAAGTTCTTCAAGATCCGACACTCCTGAGAAAAGAAACCGGTCTTAAAATCAACAGTAAACCAGCGATCAGACGTGTGTGTGTGTGTGTGAGATCAGACTGACTCTGGCTACTTGGATCCAGTGCTCCAGGATCCGGGCTCTCTGGCTGGGCTTGAGCGTCCGGTCACTGAGGCAGGTGGAAATGACGCAGTTGGTGACGCGGTTGAACTGGCTGACCGTGGCTCTGATGGTCGGCGCCAGATGTTCCTTCCCTTTCTTATCTCTCTGAGACCAGATGCTTCCCAGACAGTGATACGGCACCACACGCTTGAATCCCCATAAACCATAAAAACAAACCTGTGTGTGTGCGTGTGTGTGAGTGTGTGTGTATGTATGTGTGCGTGTGTGTTTTGCTCACTGCGTCCATCAGTGTGAACTGCTCTGCCACCACAGTGGGGTCAAAGCTCAGGAAATCGTGTCGATCCTCATTGAATCCGTTCTCCTGCAGCAGAGTGAACGCACAGCAGCCCTGATCCAGCACTGCAGACAGAAACACACGTCACGCCTGCTCTGCTGAACACTTTACTGCCATTAGATTTACTCACACACTCTAAAAGCTTCATCTGAGCCAGAAGAAATCAACAATCACAATTATATGCCAGTTATTATATGGTATTCCTGTAGATTAAATAATAGATCATGGCGATTGCAACGCTAAGGTCATGGGTTCGACTCCCAGGGAAAGCAAGAACTGCTCAAATGTATGATTGAAATGTATGTCGCTTTGGATAAAAGCATCTTCTAAATGCATAAATGTAAATTATGAAGTATTTTTTTTCCTCCTTAAACATACTGTATCTTTGCTTGCCACTGCAGCCTTTATCATGTTACAGTAATTATGCCTGAAATCAGAAATGCTACTAATTAAAATTGAAACCATTCGTTATATTTTTTTAACATTGTCACTTAAATGACTTCTAATTACATTTCGAAATTGTTAAACTCACAATTTGACTTTGATTAATGGTGATGCACAGAATCAATTTAGTTCAGTTAAATGTATAATTGACTGTAATGCACAGTTCAGTTTTTTTCTCATGAGTGGACGATCAGCATCAGGTTGAGCTGATGGACGATCGAAGCTGACGAACCGTCCCGGTCTGATTC